TTCAGGCTCTCCCTAGGCAGATAGGGCGCGGCGAAGTGAGGAAACGCACAGAGGTTGTCAGTCAACGGCGCAGAGGAGTCCCGTTGACAAAGCATGGATCTTTGATTATCCGATGGAAGGAGGAACCTCCGGACAAAGGGACATTACCGAGCGACTGCTTGGAATACCCGCTCAATACCAGGATCAATGACAGTATTGAATTATCCTGGATGAAAGGACACGGGATGTCTGCAGATGAGTGCAGGACTTTCCACTGCCATAAAGAATACTGGAAACAGAAAACTTATGGGCAGTTATGCAAAGAAGGACTTGAAATTCTTGGAAGCCACAGAGCGTGCTGATGTGCGGTCAGGGTGACCGAACTTAAGGGAGAGGCTATGTGACAATACGCTCGGTGACTTCAGAAGGTCTTTCCTTAACCTACTTTTATTTCTTTGTATTTTGAAAGTATACAGGAAAATAGGGATTTGGATACATCCTTAATTTAAGTAGGCGAAATAAACAAGCATTTAATTCTCCTGGACCGTTGGTCATATCAAACACTACAACTTTTTCCCAGTTGTTAAGTGTTAAGGTACAGAGATAAGACTGACCAAGCAGACTTACTGACTGGAGATTTGCACACCATCTGTTGGTGTCAGATATTTTATCTCGTAGCCAGACTTTTAGGAGCAGCTAACTCCGGCTAATTGTGTTTAATTCCCCCTGAGGTTACCTAACTCGACGGCAGGTCCGACGGTCACTATTGACACAGTGAGCGGAAAGTGTTGGCAGAAGAATTGACACCGTCTGATTTTATTGTGATGGCAGGTGAAGTAGACTGGAGGTGTGACTAGGCCTATTAGCTGGGACCAGCTTAATTGAACCAGGAGATCCTAGCGTGGGAATTCAAACAATTGTTGTACAGTCACTGACTGACAGCGAATAAACTACCCCACAGGGAGGAGCTGTGCATCCGTGAATGAGAATGATTTTAGGCGTAATGTAGGAGGAGCTTGATAAAAGTTATAAAGGGGTGAACGCTAGGTCTGGTAAATGAGATCCTGTCTAGCACATGCCATCTGTTGGGCTTAACCTAAGCTTGAGACAGAACTTTTGGCATCGTGATTTCATTTTTCCAGGTAAGATCGAAATTAGGTTCACATCTATATTTTATGATAGAGATCTGTCTTTTTGCTCAAGTGTGTGTCTTCATCACTTTGTAGTACTCCTAGGCGGACATTTCTTCATTCTCGTAGGGCACTGTCACATTGCTTTATTTCCTATTTGATAGTGTCATGAATGTTTTTCGGGCACATGTGTTTCAATGTTGTAAAACCTAAATGTTGTTGTTGCCATTGAAATTTAATGAACTATCATGTTTTTGAAATCACAAGCGTGAAGATAACTTTGGCAATCTTTTCACGTGTGGTTAATGTGAATCTGTATTACATACAGCTAACACACTGAAATGTGTTTAACTCTCGGGAGGCTAATGCGGAGATTGATCCCGGAGAGTAAATCCACGAGATTTGTTATTTGATTCGCACCAGAACTATTGTTAGCATTCTGGGCGCGTCGATTGTTCCAAGCATAGATTCCAGAACTGGTTCTGTCTGACTGATTGTCATTTTGAGTCTGTACGAGAGATGGCACCTGACGTAGAAGACTTGACTATCATTACAGGACGTGTAGAGGAAGGCAGAAGATGTAACAGTTGGAATGTGAGACATAAGCCCTTCCAAATTGGACAGGAGTGAATGTGAGCATGAGGGAGAGATGAAATGTTTTATTTAAATAAACATGCTTGATGTTAGTATAATATACATGCTTAGTGTACATCTAGAGCAGATACTACAAATATGCGCTTGTTTCTTCATTCTCCAGTTCCCACATTGGGCAGGGACTAGTAGGCATCCATTATTTGCCGACCGTCGAGTGTAACGACCTGCAGAAAGCAGTGAGGACGACAAACTGGAAAAGATAGGCAGGGTCTCAAGCCGAGAACTGTCCAAAGGTTGTTACTTTCCAATACCTTTATGATCTCATCATCCACATCATCCCAACTCTACTAGCCTAAACAAGTTCATTTTATTTTAATTTCGATTTATTAAAATAAATCTTTTTGATGTCGTAACAACATTACTTGAGTAAATTGTGTACTTAGGTTCAAGTGTCTTTGTGCATATTAGTTTACTTCAGCTAACAAATATTTAAATCACTTGATGGGGGCTTTTAAGTAATGCCAGGAAAGGAGACCAGTCGCAGGGGTTAAATGAGCACCTGGATTATATCACGGGGGGGGGGGGGGGGTAGGTAAGTATTTGAATGGGTCTGTTGTAGTGATGTTTAGGCCTGTAAACGAGAGGCTCAGACCATGCTCAGTGAAAGGCAGCAGATAAGACATGTTCCAGATACCCTCAGAGCCGGAAGAAGTCCAACATTTCTAGAGCCTTGTGAATAGAGGTGTAGAGCGAGGTAAGATCTAAGGTGAAGATGTAGTAACTGGAAAACAAGGTGAACCGGATGGATGGAAAGACGTAGATAGCATGGTTGGTATCCTTGATGTGAGACGTAAAACCAACGAACACGGGCTGCAGGATACGGTCAAGGAACCCGGGGTTCAGTGGGACAAGAGCAAGCGGACACGATCGGTCTGCCTGTGTTGTCAGGTTTATGTATCTTGGGAAACATAGCAATCTATGTTAGGCTTGTTTCTTTATTCATAATCGCCTCGCTCAGACCATTAACCAGTATATTGATCAGGCTCGGATGTAGTACTGTACCTTGTGGAATTCTTTTCTCCTGTTTGTAAGTTTTAAATGCTTCGTTGTTCACTAGTACTGAAAACATTATTTTTTTTAGGAAGCCTTTAATGCGTTTAGAAGTACTTTCTGGTAATCCTAATTTTGTTGCTTTGAACCAGGCTGCTTACGGATAGCACTGATCATACCAGCGCTGTCCGAAAATATCTGCTTTGTCTGTATCACTAATTGTCACTGCAGTTGTCTGGATTGTTGGAATCTTTTCTCTTATTGTGTCTCTTTTGGTAACTTTTATCTAATTCTATACTTCAGTCACTGAGGTGTCTGGTTTCAATTTCTGGCAGAATGTCCTCTCATGAGCTAATAATGTCCTGTTGGTTAACTATTCTTTTTGTAGCGTTTCTTTATGTAGTATACTCGTGCAAGTTTTAGTTTGTCCTGAGCTTTATGTATTTCTATAGCGCTCGTTTTAATTTATCTCTTGCCTCCGTACATTCTTGATTTAACCATCTCACGGTATTTTTTTTAAACAGTTGTTTTAGCGTTAGTTTAAATCTCATTTCTTCCTAAGAGTAGGTGTACTGGCATGTTTTAGTTTGGAATAATTTTGAACGCTACTTTTAATATGCTATTGGTGAGTCTTTCTACAAAGGCATCTACACTTTAATCTTCTTGTCTAATCAGACTAGTGTTATTTAGTTCACATATAAATTTATCCAACTCGGTTTTAAAAAAATTAAATTTAGGTTGATTACTTGATTCATATTGAGTGGGTATTATTTATGTTTCGCTTGCACATCTTTAAATCGTTGTAGTGGCCTACCTTTAAGCCATCTTCAATTCAACACTTAGAGAATGTCCTTGGGAGCTCTACCATCCTCCATTCTCCGAGTGTAGCCCAGCCACCTGAGCCTTAGAAGACTGCGCTTTGTGAAAACGTTTGCGATACCTGCTCTCCCCAATACCTCAGTGTTTGTGATCTTGTCATTCTCCGGCTGGACAAAAGACAAAAGTGTCTGCCAGACGGGATGCTGTGCTTAAACCAAAATTATTTTCTGAACTTGGAAAGTTATTTTTGTGAGATGTCTTCTTTTGGTTCAGAGGAAGTGTAGAATCAGCTTTTGCATTTATGAAAAATTATCAATTAATTGAAAAGGTTCTAAATGGGATTTTCACAGGTAACTATCGCATAAGTCTCTACGAATTAAAAGAAGAATGTTCTCGGAACTAACACTATAATTGTTGTTCTATGTCAGCTATATAATACGTCTAAAAAAATTCATGAACGAATGTTGTTAGAACTAACACTACAACTGTGTTGCTATTTCAGCTATAGTATACGTCTCAAAGAACTCTTGAACGAATATTCTCAGAACCAACACTACAATTGTGTTGCTATGTCAACTATAGTATACGTCTCAGAGAACTCATGAACGAATATTCTCGGAACTAATACTACAATTGTGTAGTTATGTCAGCAATAGTATTCGTCTCAAAGAACTCTTGAACGAATGTTCTCGGAACTAACACAACTATTTTATTGCTATGTTAACTCTGAAGGTTGGCTGTAGTCAACATGTGCATGAACTACTGTCCTTAAGAATAATGCGCTCCACAGTGCAACTCTCTTTCAGAATGCAAACAAAAACTTCCTACCATACCGCCTCCAACATCCCTCTAAAACTGAAATCTAGTAGGTCAAAGATTGTGAAACGCACAAACATGATCTCTAAGCCACAGAAAAACACAACCAGATCTACACTATACGTTATCATTTGAAATTTGATGATGTTCCTGAAATTCCGTTTATTTTTCCAGTAGAACTCGAAAAGATCAGACTGCAACATGTGTAATCCTTTTTAGTTTTATTTCTTTGTAAAGTTAAACAATTTCAGTAGTTATTACAGTCTGAATTTCCAATACCGCTTGCCATAATTCGTAGTAGAAAATAATGAGATCACACGCAGTTGTGTCCCTCTGTCATACACTCAATAGAATGGTGGAAGCCAGGACACGACAGTGATGGAGTTCATAACCCCTTTCAACGTCTTACTTAGTACGACTGGTGTTGTCCTCAACATGGCTAACATTACAGTCTTTCTGAGACAGGACTGGAGAACCAACAACGTCACGCTGACATTACTGTCACTGTCTATCACTGACTTCCTGATTGTGGTCACCTGTCTGATATTTGACCTATTCAGCATCTTCCAGACAGCACTGCCAACAAGTACAGTCGATTTTGCTGCTGTCCAGTACTACATTGTAGTTTGGAGTATCGCCATGTTCTCGGACATCTCTAGCCTGACCACTGTCCTTGTATCGCTGGAGCGATGTCTGTGCATTATCATGCCGCTCCACGTCCAGTCTCTCTTCTCTGTCAAGAGGACATTGACCGTCCTTCCGTGTCTGTGGATGTTCATATTGTTTACTTATTCGGTTCCCTTCTCCACAGTGGCCTTAAATTGGACCTACAATCCAAGCTTCAACAACAGCAGACTGACTGTGTCCCTCTCCAAAGAAAGAATGACAGTTGAAACGATTCATAATATCTCCAACACGATACTGCTCCAAACATTCTATGAAATGGCAGTCGCCATTAACACCGTTGTCATGGTGATTGGCCTCAAGCGGTCATCAAACTTTCAGAGAAAGTCCACCAATATTTCCTCTGGCCATCACAGCAACCTTGCATCCTCTCCCAAGTACAAAAGACTTGTGACCGTGGTGTGTTGTATATCTAGTATATTCATCGCCTGCAACACACCCACTGTTGTGTTTATTTACTGTAAACATTTCGTGCCCGGCTTCTCCTATGCCGGCGACTACAAGGTCTATTACGTGGCTGGCATGTATGTAATATTTCTCCTCTACTCTGTGAACGCATCCGTCAACTTTTTCGTTTACTTTTCCCTCAACCGTCGTTTCAGGGACACCTTGGTGGAGATAGTTAGAGGACCCGTCTGCCGTCTTGGTTCGACTAAAGAAGGTTAACTGGTGACCGAAGCAATCTTCGTCCCACTGGTAACCATAGTATGTGTTGACAGAAAGCAACGCTGCATAAATCGTTGCCAGCTTCAGTTTTCCAACAGACGCCCAGGAGTACTTGTATATAAGGAAAGAAAGACTACTGGAATTTCTTGTCAGCCACAGACTATATAGGGTTTTCTTTTTCTCTCGTAAAAACATGACTATTTAGTGGGTAAATCCAGACATCCCAAAACTAAGTGCGACCACCTGGTGGTGGTTGGTGGAGGGGACTGGGGATACAGGGCTCAGCTAAAAATACCCGAGTAGCCTCTAGATACAACAGTTAGCCACGAATAGTGGAGTGGCCTCTAGATACAGAAGTTTGCTACACATAGCGGAATGGCCTCTAGACTCAGAATTTAGCCCCCAATAGCGGAGGGGTCTCTATTTACAGAAGTTAGCCCCAAATAGCGGAGTGGTCTCTATTTACAGAAGTTAGCCCTAAATAGCATAGTGGCCTCTACATACACAGGTTAGCTACAAATAGCAGAGTGCTCTCTAGATACAGAGGTTTGCTACAAAAAGCTGAGTGGTCTCTAGATTTAAAGGTTAGCCACAAATAGCGGAGTGGTCTCTAGATTTAAAGGTTAGCCACAAATAGCGGAGTGGTCTCTAGATTTAAAGGTTAGCTACAAATAGCGGAGTGGTCTCTAGATTTAAAGGTTAGCCACAAATAGCTGAGTGGTCTCTAGATTTAAAGGTTAGCCACAAATAGCGGAGTGGTCTCTAGATTTAAAGGTTAGCCACAAATAGCGGAGTGGTCTCTAGATTTAAAGGTTAGCCACAAATAGCTGAGTGGTCTCTAGATTTAAAGGTTAGCCACGAATAGCGGAGTTGTCTCTAGATTTAAAGACTAGCCACAAATAGCGGAGTGGTCTCTAGATTTAAAGGTTAGCTACAAATAGCAAAGTGGTCTCTAGATTTAAAGGTTAGCCACGAATAGCGGAGTGGTCTCTAGATTTAAAGGTTAGCCACAAATAGCGGAGTGGTCTCTAGATTTAAAGGTTAGCCACAAATAGCGGAGTGGTCTCTAGATTTAAAGGTTAGCCACAAATAGCTGAGTGGTCTCTAGATTTAAAGGTTAGCCACAAATAGCGGAGTGGTCTCTAGATTTAAAGGTTAGCCACAAATAGCGGAGTGGTCTCTAGATTTAAAGGTTAGCCACAAATAGCGGAGTGGTCTCTAGATTTAAAGGTTAGCCACAAATAGCGGAGTTGTCTCTAGATTTAAAGGTTAGCCACAAAAAGCGGAGTGGTCTTCTGATTGAGATGTTAGCCACGGACTAAGCGGCTGTAAAATAAAGCTAGGGGTGGTCACAGAACGGAGGCGAGCTAGTTCGTGGGACAGCTAATTCTAACATCAGAGTTCAGTGACAAGGCTATTGGCGAGTAAGATACGCCACACAGTTATAATATTTTCTCCCCTGCCCCCCCCCCCCCCCCAACCACGCTACATTGAAAGGTACGTCGGCTATTTGAGTAAGAAAGAACACAAACAGCACAAGGCGAGAGGAGACCACGGATGTATTTTCTATCGTAAATAATGAATTTACATTATTGGCTGTTTTGAGATAATAAGAAAACTAGACCATGTTGTGAGAAGAAGTGAACTGGACCATCTTGTGAGGAGAAGTAAATTGGACCATGTTGTGAGAATAAGTAAATTGGACCATGTTGTGAGAATAAGTAAACTGGACCATGTTGTGAGAATAAGTAAACTGGACCATGTTGTGAGAATAAGTCAACTGGACCATGTTGTGAGAATAAGTAAACTGGACCATGTTGTGAGAAGAAGTCAACTGGACCATGTTGTGAGAATAAGTAAACTGGACCATGTTGTGAGAAGAAGTCAACTGGACCATGTTGTGAGAAGAAGTCAACTGGACCATGTTGTGAGAAGAAGTCAACTAGACCATGTTGTGAGAATAAGTAAATTGGACCATGTTGTGAGAATAAGTCAACTGGACCATGTTGTGAGAATAAGTTAACTGGACCATGTTGTGAGAATAAGTCAACTGGACCATGTTGTGAGAAGAAGTAAACTGGACCATGTTGTGAGAAGAAGTGAACTGGACCATGTTGTGAGAAGAAGTCAACTAGACCATGTTGTGAGAATAAGTTAACTAGACCATGTTGTGAGAATAAGTAAACTGGACCATGTTGTGAGAATAAGTAAACTGGACCATGTTGTGAGAAGAAGTGAACTAGACCATGTTGTGAGAATAAGTAAACTGGACCATGTTGTGAGAAGAAGTGAACTGGACCATGTTGTGAGAATAAGTTAACTGGACCATGTTGTGACAATAAGTCAACTGGACCATGTTGTGAGAATAAGTTAACTGGACCATGTTGTGAGAATAAGTGAACTGGACCATGTTGTGAGAATAAGTTAACTGGACCATGTTGTGAGAAGAAGTGAACTGGACCATGTTGTGAGAATAAGTTAACTGGACCATGTTGTGAGAATAAGTCAACTGAACCATGTTGTGAGAAGAAGTGAACTGGACCATGTTGTGAGAATAAGTAAACTAGACCATGTTGTGAGAATAAGTAAACTGGACCATGTTGTGAGAATAAGTAAACTGGACCATGTTGTGAGAATAAGTTAACTGGACCATGTTGTGAGAAGAAGTGAACTGGACCATGTTGTGAGAATAAGTCAACTGGACCATGTTGTGAGAATAAGTTAACTGGACCATGTTGTGAGAAGAAGTAAACTGGACCATGTTGTGAGAAGAAGTAAACTGGACCATGTTGTGAGAAGAAGTGAACTGGACCATGTTGTGAGAAGAAGTCAACTAGACCATGTTGTGAGAATAAGTTAACTAGACCATGTTGTGAGAATAAGTAAACTGGACCATGTTGTGAGAAGAAGTGAACTGGACCATGTTGTAAGAATAAGTAAACTGGACCATGTTGTGAGAAGAAGTAAACTGGACCATGTTGTGAGAATAAGTAAACTGGACCATGTTGTGAGAATAAGTAAACTGGACCATGTTGTGAGAATAAGTTAACTGGACCATGTTGTAAGAATAAGTAAACTGGACCATGTTGTAAGAATAAGTAAACTGGACCATGTTGTGAGAAGAAGTCAACTGGACCATGTTGTGAGAATAAGTTAACTGGACCATGTTGTAAGAATAAGTAAACTGGACCATGTTGTGAGAAGAAGTGAACTAGACCATGTTGTGAGAAGAAGTGAACTGGACCATGTTGTGAGAAGAAGTGAACTGGACCATGTTGTGAGAAGAAGTGAACTGGACCATGTTGGGAGAATAAGTAAACTGAACCATGTTGTGAGAATAAGTAAACTGGACCATGTTGTGAGAATAAGTAAACTGGACCATGTTGTGAGAATAAGTAAACTGGACCATGTTGTAAGAATAAGTAAACTGGACCATGTTGTGAGAAGAAGTGAACTGGACCATGTTGTGAGAATAAGTAAACTGGACCATGTTGTGAGAATAAGTCAACTGGACCATGTTGTGAGAATAAGTAAACTGGACCATGTTGTGAGAATAAGTCAACTGGACCATGTTGTGAGAAGAAGTAAACTGGACCATGTTGTGAGAATAAGTAAACTGGACCATGTTGTGAGAATAAGTAAACTAGACCATGTTGTGAGAATAAGTAAACTAGACCATGTTGTGAGAATAAGTAAACTGGACCATGTTGTAAGAATAAGTAAACTGGACCATGTTGTGAGAAGAAGTGAACTGGACCATGTTGGGAGAATAAGTCAACTGGACCATGTTGTGAGAATAAGTAAACTGGACCATGTTGTGAGAATAAGTAAACTGGACCATGTTGTGAGAATAAGTGAACTGGACCATGTTGGGAGAATAAGTCAACTGGACCATGTTGTGAGCAGAAGTGAACTGGACCATGTTGTAAGAATAAGTGAACTGGACCATGTTGGGAGAAGAAGTCAACTGGACCATGTTGTGACCCTTAAAATTTTTTATGGAAACAGAGGCAGAGGAACAAGGCGAGACGATTCTTGACAGCCTTTTGTCAAGCACGCAGGGGCTGCAGCACACAGACTGTTACATGTTGTCAAAGATCACAGGTTGTGGAGAGGCATGATCGCCCGCGGCAGCACACAGACTGTTACATGTTGTCAAAGATCACAGGTTGTGGAGAGGCATGATCGCCCGCGGCAGCACACAGACTGTTACATGTTGTCAAAGATCACAGGTTGTGGAGAGGCATGATCGCCCGCGGCAGCACACAGACTGTTACATGTTGTCAAAGATCACAGGTTGTGGAGAAGGATGATCGCCCGCGGCAGCACACAGACTGTTACATGTTGTCAAAGATCACAGGTTGTGGAGAGGCATGATCGCCCGCGGCAGCACACAGACTGTTACATGTTGTCAAAGATCACAGGTTGTGGAGAGGGATGATCGCCCGCGGCAGCACACAGACTGTTACATGTTGTCAAAGATCACAGGTTGTGGAGAGGGATGATCGCCCGCGGCAGCACACAGACTGTTACATGCTGTCAAAGATCACAGGTTGTGGAGAAGGATGATCGCCCGCGGCAGCACACAGACTGTTACATGTTGTCAAAGATCACAGGTTGTGGAGAGGCATGATCGCCCGCGGCAGCACACAGACTGTTACATGTTGTCAAAGATCACAGGTTGTGGAGAAGGATGATCGCCCGCGGCAGCACACAGACTGTTACATGCTGTCAAAGATCACAGGTTGTGGAGAAGGATGATCGCCCGCGGCAGCACACAGACTGTTACATGTTGTCAAAGATCACAGGTTGTGGAGAAGGATGATCGCCTGCGGCAGCACACAGACTGTTACATGTTGTCAAAGATCACAGGTTGTGGAGAAGGATGATCGCCTGCGGCAGCACACAGACTGTTACATGCTGTCAAAGATCACAGGTTGTGGAGAAGGATGATCGCCCGCGGCAGCACACAGACTGTTACATGCTGTCAAAGATCACAG